TTCAATTCCCCAAAACATTTGTTCTGCATTGAAATTTTCCTGTCTTTGAATGAACATGATTATTTTCTTTGAGTAAAAAGGATACTTTTAAGGATTTTAAGTCTTCCCCCACTGGCCCTTCCTCCTGTATAGATGAATGTTAGTGTAAATATCACTGCTGGAATATTTTCTTCATGAACTTCTTTGTGTTTTTCCTGAAAAAGTAGCAGGACTCAAAAATGTATTTCTGATATTATGATCTTAGAGAAACTGCTCTGCTTCATTACAATATAATGGCATTAGTTTTTATTTATTTTATGTGTGATCAGCTACAAAAATACTAGTAATAAAAGTACTATTAAAAGCTTTCTTTCTCAACATCTTTGCTCTTTTTTAATCTCTGGTCATTGTGTTTGTTGAATTTCAGGATAAAAAAAAGATTGCAGGTTTTACTTCTGTTAGTATAACAGAGCCAGAGTAGTGAGCTGAACTGCTACTGAATACATTAATCTTCTAATTATCATTTGAACTACAGGTAAATTTTTCAATATGTATTTGCATAAATGTAGCTACTATTTCTACAGCTGCAATACACTTGGTATTGGGAAGTTGTATTATCTGAGAAATATTTTTGAAAACTACTCTTTTAAACAGTTTTGTATGTATACAGACAGGAAAATTGAAGAGCAATGTTTAACATTAATTTTGTTTTCTTCACTTTTCTGGGTGAACTTCAGGCAATGGTGAGATTAATAACAAAATTTACTGTAGTGAGATCAGGATTTCATCTCATATCTTTCAGTGCTTAAGCTAAAATCATATTTTCTATGTGTTAGAAAGGGAGAGTACAATTCTGACATACAGCAGTTACTTATAGAGTTCTGACTGGGTTTCTCCTCTAGTAATTTGAAATATTTTAAAAAGTTGGTGAATATTTAACAGAGGAAGATGAACATGAATGCCATGAAAACAAACCTATTTTCAGGTAAATATTGCAGGGGTAGGAGGATGTGCATGCTCAGGTGTTTGTGTAAGAAACTAAATTCTACTTTACACATCACTCATGTAGACTTCCTTTCCATTTCACAGAAATTTTGAAAGATGAGAAAAATCTAGGAAAACGTAGAGCTAAGAATAGTGGTTAATTTTGGCTTGGTTTGAGCTATGGGAGGCTGAAGTGTTGCAGGGGAGGATGGGTTGATTTAAAGTGAAGTAGAGCAGCCTGAGGTGGAAGCATTCTCCTGATGGTACTACTATGATTTTTTTTATTATGATTTTTTTTTCTCCTTTCTTTTTTTTTTATTTCTCAGGTCCATTTCTTGCATCCAGTTCTTGCATCCAGTCAGGAGTTTTGCTGGGGCTTGTGCCTTCAGGTCATGCCTTGCATGGCTCAAAGGCACATCATCCTGGGTGGCCTATGGATATGACTGAGGTGAGACCCCACAGGGCATCTCATCCAGGCATCTTTGGCCAGAAGCAGTGTGGAAAGGCACTTAGACCAGAGAAGTGGACTGAGACTTTAAAGAGAGGGGAACAAACAGCACAGAATGTGTTGGATAGTCCTGAAAGACTGCTCATTTTTGGTAAATGAAATGTCTGACGGGTAGTGGGAATTTAAGGGGTGGAATTCAAAAAGTGTTTTTTCCAAATCTCATATATCCAGTTTTTCAACAGGATCCACACAAGTGCCTAGAGAGGCAACCTCTGGTTCTTAAGGAAAAAAAATAAATCTGTACAGAGTTAAAAGATACTCTTGAGTAACTTAAAATAATGAAGTTCTGGAACATTTAAGGTTTGAGCAAATTAAAGTTCCACCAGCTGGACACACTGTAAAATATTTGGACTAGTAGATTTCATAGAACTAGAATTTTGAATTAGTAGATTTCATAGAGTGAAGGAGAAATACTGACTAGCAATGACAACAGTGACAGTATGATGTAGGAAAATGCTCTTTCTTGGCAGATCTGAACCAACATGATGCATTTTTTCAGCATCTATAGAATCAGAACAGTTGGGTTGGTTTGGTTGTGTGAATGCTCCAGCCCAAATATGTTATTCACACTGATTACATTTGCATATGAGTCACATTCAGTTTTGACTTTGTCAGATGTCTCTTTATGTTTGTTTAAATAATGAGATCATCCCATGAAGTGAACAGGACCTAAAAATATATAGAGAATACTGTTTGGAAAAGCGGTATTTGAAATATTTTATGAATTTTCCCATTTTGTGGTATATTATGCAAGCAGGAGCACAGCAATGTGGAGGCACTCTTCAAAAATGCAGTGCCCATTGCTAACAGTTCATTAAACAGTATGTTACATAACAAAGCTTCATTTGTTTCTATTTCCCAGCCAAGCCAATTTTCCCATTAACAAGCATATTCTCCTTATGAATACATTCAAATGTACCATTTTCAAAGCCAGCATCATTTGTTGGTTTTCTTTGTGTTATATGAAGATTCCAAGCCTTTCTGGATTGTTTTGCTATTTACTGTAGCACTGAAGATTTTTTTAGAATGTCCTGCTCAAGGCAATGCATATTCATAAACTGAGCAAACAAGGGGGAACTGAATTCTCGAGTTCTGTGTTATTGCAGTTACACAAACTTTTAACAAGCAATAAGCTTTTCTTATGCACAAATGGAGACTACCAACTAACCACTTGAATTCAACACTGGCTCCTCAAATGTATACTTAATTCATCTGAGACTTTTAAAATCTTGCTCAAGCCTGAAGAAATTCTGGTTTGTTTGTGCTGCAGCCAGTCACTACACACATTAAGCATTTCCTTTAGTAAATCCTATGCAATTTGAGATTGCAGCTTTGGTAAAGAAAGTTAACAGCAGCATATCAGAACATACATCTGGTGAGCTATTCTGGTCTCTTTAAAGCAAAATTTGCAAGGAAGGGCTGCAAGAAAAGAGAGTTTAGCTAAAGCTCATGATCAGAGCTCAATAAAGAACTATCTGGGAGTATAATGATATAATATGCAATAAAAGGAAAACACTAACATTCAGTTTCATGCTGAGCTTCTCCGATTGATACACCTATAGAAGTAAGAGAATCTGATGACATGTGAGAATTATAATTAGAAAAAGAGGTATCTCATGTTCTTTCTTAACATGCAACAGATGATATTATGTGAACTGTGCTATATCTATGCATTCATTCCCCAAAGAAATGTGGATCACAAGCACAAAAAAAACCTGCAAGCTTCTCCAAGCAAAATGTTTTGGTCCAGAAGAAATGAAGGAGGCAAAATAATTTTCAAATTAGATAAAATGGACCAGCACAACAGAGTGGGCTTTTTTTTTTTTTTGTTAATTTGTTCCAGACTCTTCCAGCTACAGCTTGTTTAGAGATTAGTTTGCTGTTTCTTCCATTCTCTTGCCAGTAGCAGCTGTTACTTGAATATATCAAGAACAGATTTTTCTGACATTTATTTGAACTAGATCTGCTTTAAAATCTGTTGTAAATCAGTGGGCTAGGTTCTCATAAGGTTGTGTGTGGAGCCCTAATGCCTGCTTTTGCAGAGAGATGCAAAATTTTGAATTGCTGAAAATTTGCAGTAGAAACACAGGCAGACCAGGTTGGATGGGGCCCTGAGCAACCTGGTCTAGTGGAACATGTCCCTGCCCATGGCAAGAGTTTGGAACTGGATGCTCTTTAAAGTCTCTCCCAACCCAAACCATCCTGTGATTCTATGCTTCTATTACTGAATGAGAGTTTTATGATTGTGTGGTGTTTAGAAAATATGTGTGTGTTCTGCTGGTGACTAGATTTGATATTGAAACAAATTGAAACAAATTGTGAAAATTTTCCAACTTCCTGGTTTTGCATGAATTAGAGGAACTTACAGAGCAGAGAAGCACAAGGGTCATAAAAATATTTTTGTTTGTGTATTAAATCACAGTGCTGCTGTGATTTTATCCTGAGTGCATTTTCAAAGTGAAGTGGGAAACTGTCACTATCCTTGCCTTGCATTCTGTGTTGATATTTAGAGCAATCAACTGGACTGCTGATCGATAAACAGATCAGTTTTTGTTGAAAGTTGTAATTAAAACTGAGTCTGAGATATATGAGTCAGGATATATCTTTTGAAAAACCTTCAATTTTCCATTGCATTTGAACTTGTGCCCAATAATGTGACAGAAATGCTGACTTCTTCAAAATTCCATTACTTCCTTTCCCTTCAGTGGCATAACTCATGACATATTAGCCTTGTACCACTACCTTTCAATCTTACCTTATGTTGCTGTTATATGGGTATTTAGTTGAATTTGGGCTGATTAAAGGATAGTCAGATTGAAAACATCTCTCAGTTGTGATAATATTTGTGTGACATCTGAACTTCAACACTGAAATGGAAGGAATTTTGCAGTGCATTTTATTTATTAATTAATGTTTAAAAAATTCAAATGCATTTCAGTAAGCCATATTTTTGTCATTTATATGATATAATCTGCCAAATCTTGCTATGGCATTATCTTTTTTTGGTGGGGAGATTGTACTGCAAGGATATATTTATATATAAATATATAGTTCATGTTGTTTGGTATTAGGGGATAAAATGTAGGAACAAGCAACATAAATAGAAAACAACTACTATAACATGCTGCCATTTAAATTACCAGTAGGCTTTGAACTTTTGAACATGCAGCTATATGTAGTGATCATTTTAAACCTGAAGCAGTATGTTTTATAAAAGCAACAGCTCTAATTTCTGTGGGGATTTACCTAGCATGGCAGTTAGGCTGTTCAGCATTCTCAAACAGATTGTGTAAAATTTGACAGCTTCAAAGTTACTTTAAGCCGTATGTACATCTTACTTTGGAGAAACTCAAATACTCCATTGAAAAATTGTTACTAAATAACACACATTGAAATTATTTAGTTTCTTTAGTTGTTGAATATTTGTTGTTGAATATAGTTGGATTTTTGCTGACCTGGCAAAAAAAGTGGCATTTGTTTGCATGTTTTCTTAAAGTTGATTGATCTTTTTTTCCTTTCATTTCAACAGCTTGATGAAGTTGTCCGTCAGAGAAATCTGCATAGTTTGGAACTTTTCCTTTCATGCGCACAGAAACAGTTAAACGTTTTATTAAAGGAAGAGTCAACCCCAGAGGAAAACAGAGACTGACATTCTCAGTGCTGATGATACAGTGTGACTTGTGAAGCTGCAAATCTCCATCTAGCAAATGATGAATATATTCCAATCTTTTTGGATTGTATCATTGAGTCGAGACTGATCTGAAATGCTTGATAGAAATGTTTGTGGATGATGTTCTTCTATTTATATATTTATTTCACTACTATAATCAGATAGCAAAAATGAGAGGGAAAAAAATCCTTGGAAAATAATTTGTTTTATTTAGGATTTTTAGGATTTTGCTTTCATTATATTTTCCAGTAGCCCATGGTAGAAATTCTAGATAACTGCAGCAATGATGAAAACATTTCTCTGTTGTGTCTTTTAAATTTGTTAACATGATTCACCATTATTTTTGATATTTCAAAACATGGAGACAAACATTTAGTTGATTATAGGTACAAGTCCATCTCTATTTCCAAAGTAATATTCCAAGTCCATTGCCTCAGGAGAGCCTGAGTAGCTTATTATTTCTTACTGCTTTGATGTATAGCAATAGAATCAGTACTGAAACGTAAGAGTGTTGTCAGACATTTCTTAAGTCATGTATAAAAAAATCCAGCCCTGGGAACATGAAAATTTAAAAATAAAACATTTTAAATTTAAAAATAAAAAAGTGCATCTCTTTAGGGTAGCACAAAACATTGCCATGACCAATGTATAGTATGTTTTATTTCTTTCTTTTATTTTACAGAGCTAATGCAATTCCAAAGTCATTTTCTCATGAAATTACGATTAATGTGACTGACCTCAGATTCAGGAAGAAGATGTATGTAATTATGTGGAGACTGATACTGCACTGCCTCAGTGGAATTTGTGACAGAATAAGGAGTAGCTTGCTGACCTCACATGCCCTTTCTAAGTGTATCAAAGGAAGTAGAAAAAATCCCCACCAACATTACTGGACTTTGGGTCACTCATAGGTCTTTCTAGTCTTGCTAACAGCAGATGGAGTGGAATTTCTGTGCCTACACTCTATGGATTGTATAACTGAGGTCTTAGTCATAGAAGAGCTCTGAATGAAATAAGGGAAAATAAGTGTTCATGCTCAGATATGTAAATAAACTAAGAATGATCTCTCTTGTGGTGAGGTTATGGACATTTTTTAAGTGTGGTTCTCGTTATTCTGAGGTGTTTTGGGGTTTTTTTTGTTTAGCAGATTTTTTTTTTTATCAGCACTTTTCATAAATTTCTTTCTTACAATAATAAGGAACACCAGATGGTTGCATATGTATTTGGTAGTATGAAATATGTACTGCAGAAAGTTAAAGTTTTTTATTTAAATATTTTTCTGTTCTTCATTTTTGTAATCAAACCCAAAGGTTTTGTCTTTTGTATACACAAAGGTTCACTGAAGAAATAAAGAGTGCTGGTCTTACTAGATGTTGGCCTTACTCTGCAAATGGATTAATATCCAGTCTTCTGTTTTATACTTGATTGACTGATCAATTTCCATTTTTTCTGGCAGACAAGAAAAATCTTTAGTGTTAGAGAGTTGTTGCCTACTCATTTTCTGTTCCTAAATCAGTGAAATTTTGTCTCTGTAACTGCACCAAAGATGACACAGGTGCCCCCATGGCGTATTTTTGGATGTTGAGGTACTGTAAAAGGAGATTGATTGCATAGTGCTTTCTCACAATGTGTGCATTTAATTGTGGAAATCTAGTATGAGCTGATTTCTCAATGACCTTGTTGGTTTTGTTCTAGGCCTGTACATGAAACTATATTCTTTTTTTAACTAAAGACATCCAAGTGTTCCCCTTCAAAGCCAGAGCCTTAAATGTCTGTCAGCCTTCTCCTAATAAAGAGATCTGTATTCTGACTTGCAACACTATTAAAAGCACTTTTCGGAGAAGTATATGATTGGAGTCAGATTTCACTGGCAACTGTGTTATATCTTTCCCATTAGATCATATGTTATTCAGTTCAGCTCTTGAATATTGTGATAGTTACAAAGAAAGAACTGTATGTATTTTTTTCTTACGTCTGACAGTTTTAGTCTTTTGATCTTCCTCTCTACCCCACAAGCAAAATTACAGACTAGACCACAGACATGCAAGACCAGATTGGGAGCTGGGGTTACATTTAAAACTCCAAGTCTCAGAGAAGAAATTTACTTATACGGTAAAACCAGACCTATTCAGTAGGTGAGTGCCGCAGTGATGGAAAGGCCGGAGCGCCGCGACTTCTCTAGCGAAGCAGCCCTTAAAAGGGCTGGGCCGAAGCGTGTGTGAGCGGCTTCGGGCAGGCGAGTGATTCCAGCTCGGCTCAGCGGCGGCGGGCAGGCGACACGGCAAGCAGGGACGAGAAAGCTGGTCCAGCGTTCCGCTAAGCACAAACCTTTATTCAGGCAGAGCTTTGGCGAAGGGAGCTAGCAACAGCTAATCTCCCGAACAGGGGAAAAACCGGGATATTTATAGGGGAGGAGAGGGGCGGGAGGAGCCCGAGATACATGTATCGGGGTGGGACAGCAGGGGGGAACACCAATGGGGCACAGCAGTTTAACATATCTAACTCAAAGATCCCTGGGAGCGATATATTGTCTCACTATTACAGAGAAGTATCTTGTCTCCAGGGGAGAGCCAGGATCTCGGGCTTGGCGGGCTCCTCTGCACCCACAACTCCCCCTTCTTTACTTATTAAAAAGGTATCTCCTAGAGAGTTAGCTAATAGCTTCTTAAAACATGAAAACATACTTAGGAAGATAATAACAATTACGAAAACCCAAAAAATGCTTTTGAGGAGGGAGGCAACCCATCTCTCGAGCTCACAGCTCCCCAGCTCACAAAAAGGTTTTCAAGCCACTGGGTCTGGAGTTCTTGGACTGCATGTTGGAGTCTCTGGATGCAGGCGTGTATGCCTTCACTTGGGCTGGAGAGGTTAAAGCAGCACAAACCATCTGATTCCTCCCAGCCGTATCCATGGGCCAGGAGTAGGAAGTCTATGGCAGCTCAGTTTTGTAGCATGGCATGCCTAACAGTCTCTTCATCTGTCAGGAGGTCACTCAGGACAGAGGAGGTCCAGTTGGCCTGCTTACCAAGCCAACACTCCAGGTGAGAAGGCTCACCAAGGGCTTTAGCAGCAGCTGCCCACGGCAAAAATGCCGACATCACCACCCTCTTTGTGTAGGACCTATCTTTAATTTATCTATCGCAATTTTCATATAATTGGGTGAGATCTTTCTTTTGGCGGGCCAATTAATTCTTTTTCAGCCAATCATGTATTAGAGGTGAATTTGGATTGAGGATGGTAAGCTGTCCAAACGTGCAAGGACCTCCCCGGAGTTGGGAAGGGATTCCTGCCCACACTCTATCCCCACAGATCAAGAACACTCCCCGGGGCAGCACTCTGGGATAGTGAGAGGAGGCAGATCGTGTGCTGCTGGTGTAATTGCACCATTTGGACTGATTGTAAATTTTACTGTTGGGAGTCACATTTTTCTTTGATTTAATTGCCCTTTGGTATTTTGAGGCAGACCATGTATTGGCTACTGGGTGATAATTAAAATTTATGCAATAGGTAGCTTTGGAGGATCCCAAAAGCTCCAATTCCTGGGGTTCCTCTGGTGCATGGGGCAAGATCTTTGTCCACTCATCCCAAATGTCTATCGGGTTGGGTTCTTTCCTTGTGAAAGGATATTCATGGGGCTTTAAAGGAATCCCTAGCAGGCAGGATGACAGGGGGTTGGCGGCGCTGCCCATGGACAAGCACATGCGTTCTTGTTGGAGCATCTTTGCGAGGGTGATCCACACATTCTCCTGGGGCTGTGCTACTAGCCAGGTGTGGGCTCTGTGTCTAACTCTAAAACACAGAGCCTGTAGAAATTACAGGCCACATAGCTCTCAGTCCTGCCTGAGAAGCTAGCCTGGGAATTTCATGGAAGGATTCAAAACAATCCTCAAAGACAGAAAACAGCCTGCAGGTGTTGTTATCTGTCTCTTGTTTTCTTTGCAGGAGAAAGTCAGGGGGCAGTGTGCCCCACTGACCAATGATGGTGTTGTAGTAGTTTGCTAACCAATAAGAGTTTCCTTTCTGAACTTTCCACGTATCAGTTAATAAAACAAAGCTGAAATAATAAACTAAGGGACATTCTCCTAACTGACTCCCTAGAGAGTCTGTGACGTTCTTCCCAGCCATTCCTAATAGAGCGACAGCCAGGCCTCTACAGCTGATGTTTTCAGGAGCATCCAGATAATCAGGAACATCAGGAACTCAAGGATGGTTTTGCTCTCCATTTTATAACAGGACATAAAAGATTAGCTCTGATTTCTGGAGGGGGGGGGGGAGCTATTTTCTTTTTCCCCTTCCTGTCCCATCTCCCACCTCTTTAAAAAAAAAACAGTTATAAGCAAGGTTATTCTGTGTATTGGGGACACATGGCCCTACACCAGCAGCAGCACAGAGGTGCATTTTGGTGTAAACTGGCAATTTGGGCTAGGCAACGAGGGCAAGAAGGGGAAGGGGGAGGGAGTTAAGAAGACTTGTGTACTGTCACAGTGTCAGGCATGACGTTGGCAGTCATCTCGTTGCGGCCCTGGTAGCAGGACGGTTTGGCCTCTGTCTGGTTGATGGTCTGGTGGCAGGTCGGTTTGGTGGACTCCAATGACGTCTCCGTTTCCAGGCTGCAGTGGACTGCTGTTTTTCTGGACCTGTGTAGGTCTCAGGAGACTTTGAAAGTTCTGAGTCTGGTGCAGGGTTTGTAGGGCCTAAATAAGGTTTTACATTTTTCCCTGGGAGCCACTTAGGTCCTGATGGTGTGGACACACATGCATACCCTCTCCCCCAGGTAATCAATGGGAAAGGTCCTGATGTCTGTTGTGATTCAGGATCCTTGATCAGCACTGGTGGCTTCTCTGTGAGTTTGGCATGAATTGAGTTAGAGAAGTGCTGTATTACAGGGGGGTCAGGCTCTGTAGGTGAGCAATTTAGAAAGTTCATGACATATAGAGCCTTACAGAGCCTCTCAATGGGAGGAATGATTTCTGTTCCTCCCCACTGGTGATCAAGGACTCTTTCCAGGTTTTGGTGGGTCCTCTCTACTATTGATTGCCCTGTAGGGGAATGAGGAATGCCCGTGGTGTGTTTCACCCCCCACTCATTGAAAAAGTCTCTTAATTTGTGAGAGGTGTAAGCAGGTCCATTGTCTGTTTTAATTTGTTCTGGGATTCCCAGGGTAGCAAAAGCAAGGAGAAAATGTCGGATGGTGTGCTTGGCATTTTCTCCTGCATGGTCTGAGGCAAACACTGCACCAGAGAAGGTGTCTACTGACACATGTACGTATACTGACTCTCCCGAAGGACAGGACATGAGTGACATCGGTTTGCCATATCTGGCAGCTGTTAAGTCCTCGGGGGTTAACCCCAGAGTTAACGACCGGTATTTGGAAAGATTGACAATTGGGACAGGAGGCAACTATTGCTCTAGCCTGGTCTCTGGGTAGTCTGAACATTCTCATCAGTGCAGGCACGTTTTGGTGGAAGAACTGGTGGGACAATTTCGCTTGTGCGAAAATGTCAGGGACATTGGCTGCTCCAGCAGGCATGGCTAAGGCGTCTGCCCTCATGTTCTGCTCTCATAGCTATTCCAGCCACATAAGCCGAATCAGTCACCAGATTGAAAGGTTCTTGGAATTTCTCAAAAGCTCTGACGACGGCTGCTAATTCAGCAATCTGTGGTGATCCCTCGACCACTTGGACATCAGACTCCCATTTCTGTGTCCTGGGGTCCTTCCAAGTCGTGACTGACTTGTGGGATTTCCCCGAGCCATCTGTGAAAACCATCAGAGCCTTGAGTGGTGTTTTGCTCTGTATGATTTGGGGACCAAATTTGTATGAATCTGTAATGATTTGGGGACGAAATTAAATGTGGTTTTGAAAAGTCTGTGGCCAGGTGGGTGTATAGAAATTTGGCCTGAATAGCTAACAAGAGCGAACTGAAGGCTCTCATTGGTTTGGAGCAAAGGTTCCAAACTTCCAGTTGCCAGTGGGAGGAAGATGCATGTGAACTCACAGGCTGCAAGAGTGCGGAGACGGACTCTAGCTCTTTTAATGAGTTCAGCCATGATTTCCTGCGGAGTGGTAATAGTCTTAGTGGGCTGGTTATGTGTAAAGGTCCACTCGATGATAAGGAGTGGATCTTTCAATGCCATGTCCCATTGAAAAATGAGCATGTGTAAGTGCGGGGCCTTATCCAGGATAACCAGTTGGAAGGGCAGACTGGGCTCGTAGCGGTGGGCTTGCCGCAAAGACAGGGCCTCCTGGACCTTGGTGATGGATTCCTGGGCCTCCGGCGTGGGGGAGCATGGTGAATCGAGGTCCTCTCTGCCATGGAGCAGGCTGAAGAGGGGCACAAGGACTTCTGTTGTTACCCCAAGCAGAAGGTGTGTCCAGTTGATGGACCCGCAGAGCTGATGTAAGTCCCGCAGGGTCTTGGGGTCGTCTCTGATGGTCAGCTGCTGGGGCACAATGGTCCGTTCACGGATCTGGAGTCCTAGGTAGGTCCAAGGGCAGGTGTGCTGGATCTTGTCTTCACGTATCTCAAATCCAGCATCCTCAATTGTCTGGATAGTTTTTTGTAAAGTCCGGTGCAGATAGTCATTGTCAGCAGCACAAACCAGGATGTCATCCATGTAGTGGAGGATGACGGCATCTGGGAACAGGGTCCTCACAGGTGACAGAATGTGGGCCACATACCACTGGCAGATGGTAGGAGAATTTTTCATCCCTTGGGGAAGGACTAGCCAATGGCATAATTTTAAAGGTGCTTGTCTGTTTGGGGAGGGAACTGAGAATACAAATCTGGGGGCATCCCGAGGATGGAGGGGTATGTTGAAAAAACAGTCCTTTATGTCAATGAGGG